TTTTGCCCCCCCCCCCCCCTCTCCTTGAGTTCGGCTGTTCTCGCCGACCCCGCCGCACATGGATCCTCGTTAACCCTCCGTTTAAGATCCCCGCACACAAGTGAGAGACGGCGGCGCACAATCTCGCGTTACGGCGGATTATCGACGTTTAACGTCGGATACCCCAGCGACGTGTAATCCTGCCAACCACCTCGCTGACCCTTCCAGTGACCGTTCATCTCCGTGCGAGTATCTCTTCCCCCCGTGCCCCTCTAATCGCAACGTCCGCTTTCTTTACGCCGCATTCTCGGACGCATTCCGGACGCACCAGGACGCGCCACCCTGCACGAGTGGGCGTTGATTTTCTACGGGACCGCGACGTTGCCCGACCGCACCGAGTACGCGCTCTACAATCCGGCCGGCATGAGCGTGCCCAGGCGGCCGTTCGTGAAGCCGCGCGAGACCAGCTTCTCCAAGAATCAGAACGCCTTGGCGAAGGGGAAACAGGCGCAGCACAAGTCCGACAAATCCGGCAGCCTGAGTCCGCCCTACGTAGTGAACGCGCAGATACAGTCGCAGAGGAAGGGCAAGGTTCGCGGCCAGCACAAAAACGGCAAATCGGCCAGTCGGCCGAACCCGAAGCCGACCGCTCAGACCCTCCGTGGTCTCACCGGGGTCAACAAGGGCGGCGATGTGCGGCTGATCACGTCGAGACCGCGCGGCCGAAGCACGCCGAGCCCGATCACCAGCACGGCGAGCCAAGCGACGACGAAGACGCAGAGCCCGACTACGTGCAGGCACAGGATCGGCGACCCGGTGACCGCCTCGCCCCTCCAGAGGGGACTCATTTTGTTGGAGCCGCCGGCGAAGGAGGCCACTAACAAGGTCCCGGAGGTTTTCCAGCAGTATCCCAAGATCCAACAGCTTTATCCGGTTTACAGCGGTGCCCGCGGTGTCGGACAGCAACTCGCTACGAGGGCCAAAGGAATCGACCTGCTGCAGGACGAGCAGTTTGACCCCAAGAACATAGACAAGGGTATAGACCTAGATGTCTGTGCGCGCGACAGAGCCGCAGGGACGCGTTGATTGTCAATGGCGACGATCGGAGGCTGATGAGAAATCGTTGCGACGATACGCTGTCATTTTAAACGAGACGTCCCTCACGCAATTTCTTACGGTTATTTTTTATAATTTTTTACATTGCGCAAAATCTCCCGATAAACTTGAATCAAAACGAGTTTTCTCTCTTATATTGCTGCTCGTCACACGCTGGGCCGAGTCGAACGAAAGGTATTGAAGATCAATTAAGGTAGTTGTATCCTAGAGTGCTGGATTTTCAGTGGCCATATTAAGGGATCTTTACGTAAGTTTATTATTAAACGAAACTATTACACTAAAAGAAATACTTTCTTATAATTTTATTTAAATGCAGCGGTGAGAATACGTGGGGCCTTTACCGCCGGGAGGTTCGCGTGTTTGCTCATTAAGATAGTTGGTCCGTAGAGTATTGGATTTTTAATGGTGATATTAAGGGGTCCCTACAGAAGTTTATTATTTACTGAAAAGAAATATTTTCCCCTATAATTTTAACCATCTAAATAATAAGTATTAATTTTGAGCAAAATTAAGGGAAATATTGACATATTACGAACATGAGGATTATTTTTTTCTTTTTTTCACTAATGTTTTATTTATGTGTAAATTGAGGTAACAGAAGTGCACACATAACAGAAAGTGATATATAAATATTTAAATATATGTATATGTGCACATATATCGCGCATTATAAATTGTAAATTTCCTATGCCTATATTTTCAAAACAATATAGTCAATGATTCGGAAATGTTTGTATAATATCTCTATATTAGTTCTTATCATATTTAATATCATATCATATCATATTTAATATCATAGTTAATATCATATTATTGTTTTTTTATAAAAATCTTAAATGTTGGAAAAAAATGAAAAATTAAAGAAGTTAAAAATAGGATTTTAACCTCCAGGTTTACGTATAGAAAATGTCACTTTCAGTTGCAAATATCTCAGATCTTCCGAATGGTCGGTCGTTTCTTATTGCGCCAATAATGAAGGCCATACTTTTAAATCTATACGTAGTGCAAGTTTTAATGATTTCGTAAAAAACTCCTTTCATGTTACAACTACCTTAAATATCAATTGTGACGTAAGGCAAATATGGTGTACGATGTGACAATCAGTCCCAGACGAAACGTGGAAAGTATACGTCGGCGGCGCGTGCCGGTAATCGCAAGCGCGCGGTGACTAACGACGACAATCTATCAACGCTGGCGTCGCCCGGTGGCGCTATTTTGTAGGACAACAAAGAGATCGTTTCGCAGCTTCCGATCGTTATCCATTCGCGTCCACGCGTCCGCCCGCGCTCTCACACATGGAAGCGTGGAAAGTAGAGACGGCGGGTATCGTTGCAAAGCCCGAAGATTAAACGGATCTGATGAAATTTGGTTTCCGTATTCTCCCTTTTGTTAGCTGTTTCGCTGATCGCGACCACACCGTTACTTTCGTTTATGTACACGCGGGTATATTACCCATGGCTATTAATATGTAGTGCTTTAGAGCTTGTTTCCACATGTTATCCTTTCATTTCATAGGCGCACGTGCGCAGGATTTCCACGTGAGGTGATTGCGTACTTTGCGAAGCTCTCCGCGTGATCAGTCCGTTTTCGATTAAAAAATGAACATTTCTCGTACTCCACCGTTGGCGTTCCCATGTTTTTCGGATCACCTCATGCGAAACGCCTTTGATGTGCGCCACAACGTTATCCTCATTCCTAGTTCGCTAGGCGGATCCGGATAATGTCATAAGTCAACGTTTCATTGTCGCTGTTTGATAACTGTGATGCACCAGGTCGAAAATTATACGCGTAATATTATACACGGATTGTTGAAATCATTTGACGTACGATCGATAAGCTCTCGGAGGTACACCCCTGTACTTTTGCGGATTCTGCGGAAGTACGGTTGCACTTGGCAGAATTTGATTTTCGATTGAGTTCGCATTTTGTATATTTGCATGATTGGCGTACAAATGTGTGTATATGTGCACGAGTTTGAACAAATCACATTCTTCGTAAAATTGCACCTTAAAACTTCGGAAGAACCCTCTTCTCCCGTGAATGGCGTATATGCCCGAGAATTTTTACGCGTACCTAACCTGTGGGCGTCGGATTTTTCTTTGTGTTGACACGCAGTCTATGTTGCCTCTTCCTGTTGCTATAATCGAGGCCCCCCTTACGAGAGCGGCAGGTCGATAATAGGAAAACTTATCGGAGCCGGCAACCGTGCTGTGGCCTTCAATCAAAACTTCCGATGACTTGGTTATCGATGAGCTCCGTGTGCATCCGCGAACGCGTCCGTGTGAGTCGGCTGCCTAATACGTTGCGCGCGCCCACGTGTGTGTACCACTTTGTATCCTATAATTACCTTTGTAGGCGAGACGCGAATTGCTCTGTTTTTCGGAGGAAATTGCTCATCCCGCTTGTTGTCATCAAGAAAGAGATTACGGCCGACGTTCATACGTGCACTTCTCTTTTCATTCTATAGAGGAAACGCGGATGTTATGGAATACCCCGAGGTTTTTAAGATCAATCGAAAGCTATTAAAGATAACTGAAATTAGCTTCCACTGAGTTGTAATGTTTTAAACAAGTATTTTCACAACGTGTTCCTCTAACGGATTTCGCTTATCTGTAGTAATAGTATGGTATCAAAGTATTTTAATTTTCATTACATTGTAACGAAAGGCGACTAAGAATCTGTGAAATAGATTGACTGTTAAATAAAAGTTTAGAAACTTATCTGATGAAAGTAGCGTGACATAGAAAATTTTAAATTTGACGTATACACATACGATCTCGTTACTAGGCTACGGCTTTATAAATTAGATTAGGCTTTCAACAGCTAATAATTTCACCGCTATCTGCTATGTCGCGACACTTAACAAGCTGGAAATTGTGATATTCCGTATCAACGTGATTAAAAAGTAATATTTCCTCCATTCACTTCAGCGCGCAGAGAACGTCGCGTTGACGCCGTTATTTTTATACTCCTCATTTGGAAAACGCCATGTGATATTAATGATCCGACAATTATTTCCTTCCGATGCGGAATATAACGATCCGTATCAAATACCTCGATCGCGCGAGCTCGCGATTTCATCATTACGCGTCACGCTCGTTATCTCCTTACCGAATTCTCGAATTCCAGATCACCGAGCGGCCCGCCGCGCGAATCGCTCAAAATTCAGTGGGAACGCGCGGTGACGCGCACCGACATCGAAAACCACGAACGCGTGCCGTTGGAAAAGCCGATGCGCGCACGAACAATCGGGGACGAAACCCATTGCGACGGAGATCGAGCGGCTCCGTTCGTCCATTCGTTCGTCATCGTTGCTAAATAATTTCTGCCGTGATTGGAAATTTTTTCGCCCGCTTGCCTCGCAAAATGGATTCCGCTCTTGAGGCATTATTATCGCTTGCCCCTCCCCCTCCCTCTGCAGCGCGCTAACGACCCTGAAGCACCCTCCGAACACAATGCCCTTACGTCCCATTGTCTTACGGAGTCGCGCCACGCCGCTTCGATCGACTTTTGACATTTTTACTCCCTTCCCTGCCAGCCGCCCTCTCATTTCCCTCGGCCCAGTCGCCCTTGGCAAGTTATTTCCTTGATACTTCTCGCGAAACGACAGGCGTCGCGACGTTTGACACTTTACAGCCACCTCGCGTCTTCGTAACGGGGGCTCTTTAACGACGACTTTATTACGGGCGGCGACCGGCAGTTTATGCCGCCTGTGCAGCGACGAAAAAAAAACGCGCGCGTGAAAAGTTCAATCGCGAGTTAGTGACAAATTGAATTCGCCTTTCCATCGCTTTGATTTTCGGTCGCTTGTTCGCAATCGTCGTCGCGGCCTCCGAGCGTGAAATTTAACCCCTTCCGGGGGCAGTAACCTCATTCGAAGGCATATGTTTGTTTTTCCGCGTTGTTTCCGTAAACTAATACATATTGATATTAATGCATTCGCTCCTTGAAGAATTCCGGCGGAGAAGTCAATTGCGCCGACGAGAAATGAATAAAGCGTCACGATACCGTTGGGGAAAATTGCAACAAAATCTTAAGTATTAATAATGGGTTAAAAGTTTTGACGTTAAAATCAAAATATATCTTTCTGTTTTATTTCTATATATTTACGAATGTTTAATTCTTAATAAATTACTCGAATTTATCCTTTAATCTTCGGTAAACCATCAGCATTTGTTAAATATAATTTTGGTTCTTGAATTTCTTCTCGAATAGTTCTAACTATTAATAATAATTGTACTTTTTAATTGCGTCTTTTATAATATAATATTTCTTAATTCCCTATTGGTTCGAATAAGACTAAAACATTTAGACTTTACGATTATATTTTCTTATTAAACAATTTTGATAACAGTAATTGCCAGTAATTTGTAATATTTGACTAGTGTTTTTATGGCACTATATGATCTGTAATTTTATTCTTATTGATTCGTTTCCTCGTTTCTCCGATTAAATATCAAAAGGCGTAAAATAATCTAGAGCAATTGATAATTCATGACTTTTATTGTTTCTCCCAGAGAATAAAGAATTGTTTTAAAGAATAAGAAAAGATCCGACTTATTTTTTAATATAGAATAAGTTGATTTCTTCATTTTTAATTAACATCATGATTATGTACCAAGGTTCATTGTAATAATTTATCGCAGCTAGTTACAAAGCAAAGACTATACGTCAAATTACTTAGCATGAACCCTTTACGACCAGCCAAGAAGGTGTAATATTTAAAATTAGCTTCCATTTAGCTCAGTTTTCCATCTTACCCGTGACGTGATATAAACGTACAGGTATATCTCGCTCGACATAAAAACGATAATCGCCCACGAGTTCTTACTGAGTCTCGTTGCAAAGTACTTTGCATTTAATTTCGACGTACACATTTCGCTGAGTAACACGCGAGCGGAGTCGTCGCTGATTACTTGGTTATTTTTAACTCTAATTTAATCAAGACTTCCTCCCCTCCTTCGTTGACGGACTCTTCTCCCTTTTCCTCGCATCGTTGTTCCTACGAGCGAGTCCAGGACGAAATTTTCCCCACGGCATCGTGACGCTATATTAATTTCCCGACGGCGCCGTTGACTTCCCCGGCGTTGTTTCCACTGTCTCGCTCGACTCCTCCTTCTTCCTTTCCCCCTCTCTCTCTCTCTCTCTCTTTCTGTCTCTGTCTCTTAGAACCTTCCGTTCTACCGTTACCCTAGTGAGACCCGATATTTAATGCAATCCTCATCGGCAAGATCGCGAAACAGTTTGCAAGAAAGTGAAAAGCACGTCGTTCGATAGATAGCTGAGGGAACCGATAATGGAGTACGTATATTGGTCGGGTTATTACGCTTTCGCGTTTTATGGCAACATTTATTACAGTGCTGAATTGCGTTTCGTAAGGTTTGCATTCGTCTTGAAGAATGCGCTTGAAAATACTGTCGTATATACGCGTAATATCATTACACCGTACACGGAAATACAACGCGATAAAACAGCAACCGTCAGAATTTCATCTATGCGGAAATGGTCACGAGCTCCGCGAGCTTGCATTTCCATTCGCAGGAACCGCGGTACGTATGCCATACACAGTTCGCTAGAGCTGATTGCAGTGTCTGCATGTGTGTATCTAATGTAAAAACAATAGTATGTAGTTTTGTTATTATTCCCGTGATCGCGCAACACGATGTTCCCATTATTTTATTCCGAATCGTTTTCCGCCTATGGCACGCGGATAAAACGTTCGATTTTGGCACGCTTGCGTTCCGTATGTTTTAACGTTTGTCACATCAAGATAAAGCCGCGTGTGGAATTTATTTTTCGTTGAACACCACGACGCACCAAATATATTAGAAGCATAAATTTTCGAATATTAATTAGCAGATAAATAACTCGGGACAATTTCGAAGTAGTGAAAAAGGAACATTTTCATTTCGTAGTTTCATCTCCAAGACATTATGCTTTATTCTCTCTTGCGGAAAAATCCGCTCGATTTGTCCGCGTCGCGTTTCACGCGAGATCTCTCGCACAAGTCGACGCGAGCCGGCCGCTGCACGGAGAAAAGATTGTATTGAATATTACCACAAAATTTTGTAATGCCGAACCGTATTGGAATTATGATCAATTATTACGTATGCCGTAATCTTTAATGATACGTATAACGAAATATATCACTAAAGATGACGACACACGCCATGATCTCAGTTACAATACCGGTATGATTCAGCGTTATAAAATTTCGTGATCATTTTTACTACGACATTTTCTCCGGGTGTACCACCCGGAAGAGCCGTGTAATCAACATAGCCGGCTTTGTTTCAGACACACTGAACGAGTGGCGGCTCGTATTTTACGGCACGGAGACCTCGGTAGAGTTGGACGACGAGCTGGACAAGGACAAGCCGCAGCCACCGGTGCGCCATCAAGAGACGGTGCAGGACAACGCGGCATTAGACCCGCGGCAGAACGCCGTAGATACTGAGGGTGACCCATGGACAGGTAGCCAGCAGGTGGACCGAGTCTCCCACCCGGAGGTGCAGAAACCGACGACGGAGAACCAGAGGAGCGGCTGCGCCACCTTCGAAGCAAGAAGTGGCAGGTGCCTAGGTGGGTGCCTCATACTACTCCTTCTAGCCTACCTGACCGGTAGCGTGCCCGGCTGGCAGGAGCTGATCACCAGCTGGCCAGCCTCGACGGACAGTCGGAGCGAGCCGATCGCGACTGGCGTCTCGACGGCGACGACGGCGACGACGACGACGTCGAGTGCCGGCGACGCGACGACGCGGCACGCGTCGGGTAGCCCGCCGGTGGCGTGCGGCTGTTCATGATGACGGCGGGTCGCGACGTTCGGTCCCGCGACAGCTCGCGCCGCGCTCCTGCGACCTGCGGCACAGTCCGAGGGTCCTCGCGAGCGGCCGCGTGGACGTCGACGACGTGCCTGATGATCGTCCTTGTGATCGTGAAACTTTCATGTACTTGTGACGTGTGCGAACGCGCGCGCGCAGAAGAGACAGAGGAAGGAAGGGAGGACGCGGAGGAGAAACTAGTTTCTCCTCTCTCTTTCTCTCTCTCTCTCTCTCTCTCGGTGCTATTGTCTCGAGGAAGGACCTGGAGGACTTTCGACTCAATTATCCATCGTTTGTCCTCCTCCTCCTCCTCCTCCTGCGGAAGAAGCGAGGACAGCGTTGAGCGACGGACATCTCCGAGTCGGAGGACCCCGTTCTCCGCGACTGGTAACGTACGATATCTCCTGGCCGACTTCGCGTTTGTGTCTCTTGTGACCCAAGCCGTCCGGACGCTTGCGCCGTCGACGACACCGTGTTCGTGAGAGCGGCGTCGATGTGACACGGCAGCTTCGACTGATCGAAGTCCCCGCGGCGAGGAGGACGGGACGGCGCGGTTCTGCTTCCGCCAGCACGATGACCTCTCGATTTCGCGAAGCGATTCGGCGCACTTATTTCTCGGGGCGATTCGACCAGCGACCATAGCGAAGTGCCGAAAGAATCACGCCTTCATCCGTCTTTCTCTCCGTCGTCATTCGTTCCCGGAGAATAGAGTGCGTAATAACGCCTTGTGTGGACTTCGACAGGAGACTGTGGTGCGTGCGTGTGTGTGTGTGTGTGTCGTGCGGGTAAGCTTCGCGCGAGACGAAATTGCCGACGCGAGATCTCACGGGAAATTCAACATTGCGGGCTTCACCCGGACGGACACGAGGTAACGTGATTTTTGCATGCTGCTCACGAACCGTTAGCGTCGTTTCTTACGCTGTCTCGCCGCGGTGAGTCGCTCCCCGAAGTAATGCGAGGTAAATTCTCACCAGGTCAACGAGATCAACGGAACACGGCGAGTCGGTGACTCCACGTTGCGACGCGACCGATAAATAACCGATACACTTAAGAAATCGCGAGCAACCGCGAAGCGAAAGTCGAGAG